GGCCGACGGTTCGCGTCGGAGTGGCCTTGTGGTCCCGGAGAGACCCCCATTCTTGTTGCATTGGCGGTTCCGCGATCGCGGGACCGCACCTGCGCCAAAAGGTGGCCATGGGGTCTCGGAGAGACCCCCATTCTCCTTGCTTTGACGGTTCCGCGATCGCGGAACCACAACTGTTCCAAAAGGGGGCCATACGTGTTCGGAGAAATCGCCTTTCTTGGTGCACTGACGTTTCCTCCACCGCGGAACCGTCGTTGTGCCAAGAGGGGGGAAGTGTACCTGAATATGATTATATTTTTGCTGGGAGGGTTTGCTCCCTTTTGTGCCATAGCTGTGCCAGCTGCACCTCGGCCAGATTTTGGTGTGGACCTCTAAACTCCGAACCGGGCAATTTCTTGCCGTCCTAAGTGTGACATCACGGACTGCAATGATAGGTGCTACCACGCATTCCTCTTCCGGATGGAGGGTGGCCGCCCTGTGGTGTACGGTAGAGAACACGACTTGCCCGGCCAGGCCTGGGTGGGGCGGTCAGAGGGCGGCGGGTGGCCAGTGTTCCTTGAGGATGCTGTGATACCCTCTTTCGATAGCCTATCTCTGGAGCCAAGGACGCCGCTCCAACAATTCGCTGGGATACGAGAGAGGGCACTGAAGTTCGTCGGCAAGCTCAGAAGCCTACTTGCCTCCACAGCTGGTTTGTCCGGCGAGGAGGGGCCTGCCACCGTCCTAAGGGCGCGTTACGTCCACGCCATACGGTGGTGGGAAACCTTTATTGAGGACCACAGGTCCACCTTTCCGGAAGGGGGCGTCGACGACCGAGTGGGAGGATCCCTCAGGGTGGCAGAGTGTGGCCGCGGGGACGAGGACGACCTTCTGCCCGTGCCTAGCCAGGGGCCCACCACTGAGCTTGGGCCTGTAGTGGAAAGGTGTGATGGTTTTGGTGCACAACATACCACCTCTGCCACATTGTTTCATATCCTTAAAAAAATCATTGGGCCCGTCAGCTCATCTGTCGTGCACACACACCCTGCCTTTGTATAAATGACCCTCAGCACACTGCCTGCGTGGCATCTCTGCCCCGGGGGCTGTCATTGCATGGTCTTGGTCTTTACTGCATGTTGTATGTTTCTTCCCATTTGCCCCTTTGGTGACATCCAACCTTTCATATCAGTGTTGTGGTTTGATTGCCAATGTGGCATCCGGTTACTGACTAGTTCTACGCGCCCATTGTACAGGGACGTGGGCCCCATCCCAGGGGAGCGTGCAATATTCTTTGGTCACTCACACAAGGCCCCAAGACCTGCCGATGTGAGACCGTTCCGACCGGAACACGACGTTGCCCCCGGGGTGACTGTCGCCATTCGGATGGCAGACGAAGATGCCGATGCCTGGGCCCATGTGTTTGACATCGCCAGAGTCACCAGGGTATTCGACCCCAGTGAAGAAAATGGATATGACGTGCGCCACTTTGAAGTGCAGTATTACGCTTGTGAAGGCGTTGTGGAGAACTGCGACCCTGACAACCCTTCCTTCATCAGTGAAGAAGTCCAACTAAACAACCCGTGGTTCCTTACGGGCCAAAAGGAGGTCATCCCTTGGACGGCAGTGGTGAATGAGCAGTGGGTGGGAGGAGATGGCCACTTATGGCCATGTTGGTGGGAGTGTCTAAGGCGGGAGCTTCCCCGCCTTCATTCCACAGATCCTGGCGGGGATTAACCATCTTTCAAAGATATTGTACAAATTGTTGTATACGAATGCTTCTTGGGTGGTACCAAACTTGTAATATCCTTGGGCTAAAGTTGCCGTGTGTGTTTTATCTCCTCTTCCCACTTTGTGATGCATACAAGTTCTCGCTTGGCGGACACCAAGCCTTGGGGAGCAGTCGCGGGGGCAGGTTCACATCCAGTGGCGGGCACCAGGCCATAACCAACGTTTAGCCAGTTGATGCGGTTCCGCCATGGCGGAACCGCAAGTAGGCTGCCAGAGCCACTAGTGACTTGGCTGCCAACATTACAATGTACTACCGCCTTCGTTCGTCAGGTATGATACTTCAGCCATTTTATGTCAAAGAGTTGTAACATAACCGCACCTGTAGGAAACTTTAGCGGCAGACAATCACAAATGCGATGGAAGTGTTATGTCTCACGTTGCCACCTTCAACACCGTCACTTGTGGTTCTGCCGCGAAACTGCAAGCTTTAGGCACCAAAAATGCCGAGATCTATATAATAATTATGGTGGCGGGTGACGCCAGCACCAGCCCAAATACAGCGAAATTAATAACATGACATTGAAACAATATTCCACGATAGTGGGATCGACGTTGTGCAAATATGCTACCTAATAGGTTTGTAGCTTGGCGCAATGGGACATTTTGAACGGAAGGGAGTTTCTCCCTCAGTGGAATCTGCGGGCCTTCCACATTCGCCCGCGGCTGCCGCGTCTGACCCAGGCGCTGTGACGCCACGGTCCTCCCCCGGATCGCCGGTCGCGGACCCTCTCCCGGTGGAGGTCATGCCTCTGGACCACCCGCTCTACGGGTGCGACGTGGATGGCCTCTCGTCTTCGGATCGGTCGTGGATGCAGGCCGAATTCCTCTCGTTCTACACAGAATCCACGCGGCGGTCGATGCATACCAAATACTCCAAGTTCGCCTCCTTCTGTGCGGCGCACGACCTCGAGGCGCTTCCCGCGCGGCCATCGTCCATCTACCGCTACATCCGCTTCTTACGGGAGGAAGGTCGCGTCAGCGTTCGCAGCCTCCCCCAGTACCTGGCTGCCATCTCCATGGTGCATCAGTCGATGGGCTACCTCGACTTCTCCGCCTTCGATTCGGTCACTCGGCGGCTCACCAAGGCTTGGCGTCGGGCCGACCCGGAGCCGGCCCATTCCCATCGCCCGGTTCCGACGGAGGTCCTCCGCGCCATCCTGGAGTTTGGCTTGACTACGGGGGATCTGCGCCTCCTTCGCGCGGCTTGCTCCGCGGTCTTTGATTTCGTTTTCTTCAATCGGGCGCAGAGCGGACATCTGATCCTCCTTGACGACCTCCGCCTCGAGAATGGCCTCATCGTCTTTTGCGAGCGGCGGACCAAGCTCAGCGCCAATACCGACCCCCGGGTGCGCTGCCGCTCTTGGCCTTCCAGCGGCGCACCGGCGGTCGTCGATCTTTTCCTTCGCTGGTCTGCGGCCCGGGACAAGGCGTGGGCGGACACCGGCTCCTCTTCGGAGCATTTCTATACCTTGCCGGGGGAGTCCGACCCGTCCGCGCCCATCGTCTCCAGCTGGTTCCCCGCCCTCCTGCGCGCCCTCCCTACCCCTCCGCCCGAAGCCTTCGATCATCACGGCCTTCGCGCGGGGGGCGCCAGCGCCTGCTACTCGCTGGAGGTGCCGGAGGGGCGGATACGCGCGTGGGGCGAGTGGCGCAGTAACGCCATGTGGAAGTACATTGACGTGTACCGGCTGCCGTCCGAGTGGGACTACCGCATGTTTGGATGGATGACGGTTACTGCGCGTGACCTACACGCGCAGTACGGGCACATCTTTTGCCCCGGAGGGGCGTCATCGGCCCGAGTGTGACCAAGGCATGACCACGCCTTCGCTCCGGAGGAGCTGCACCGTGCCCCAGAGTGAATGGGCACGTTCAAGTGGGTCGCCTATCGGGTCTTGTTTTAGTAAGGTGAAGGACACCAAACTGTGTGCATGTAATGTATTGTCGTGTGGGGAACACGGGGGGGGTTGAAGGAGACTGGTAAGGCAGAAATATAATTAACTATCCTGTTAATGAGTTTCTGCCTAGGACGACGATGGGTGGGCGCGGATCGGCCAGTCTGGGCCGTTCCGTGACTTTGGCCAGTGTGGGGGCCATCACTAGGCTGGTTTCTGTCACCCCTGTACTCAGGGTCAGTTCTGCCCGGCGGATCCAAGGGCAGTTGGGTTGAGCCTTGTACCTTGGACGCAGCCAAGGGGACCGGTCAAGCTGGCCCTTGGGTTTGGCGGGGAGTTTGGCGGCAAGTGGGAGCAGCTATTTAGGCGCGACCCTTGGCGCCCCCCTTTTATCTTGTTTCGCACCCGCCCGGCCCACCCTAATAGAGTGAGTTCGGTTAGCTGTGGGATGGAGAGGGAGTTGAGTACGAGGAAAGGGAAGCTGATTCTGGGTTGAGTCACCATCAGAGTGGCATTGAGTACTATGCGAAGCGAGGGCACGTTCAAGTGGGTCGCCTATCGGGTCTTGTTTTAGTAAGGTGAAGGACACCAAACTGTGTGCATGTAATGTATTGTCGTGTGGGGAACACGGGGGGGGTTGAAGGAGACCGGTAAGGCAGAAACCGATTGACAGAAATACTAGTAGTAGTTAATTCCATTTCTACAGCGATGAAATGGAGAATTTGCCACGTTCAGCTTGACATTTTGGAGACTCATTCGTGCCTGTCAAAGTCGTAGAAGGAGACGTTGATCCAATTCTATTGCTCCCTGAAGTTGATTCCAGGCGCCCACCATCGGCAGCTGTACAGCAAGGACATGTCCTTAGCCTCGGCCCCTCCCAGAGCCCCTCCGCTGATATGGCAAGGGAGCCCCTCTGCCTGTGCAACATTTCATTGGGAGCCTTTCTGTTGCGTTCCTTTTCACCCGGGGTGTGAGATGTGTGATCCTCACGTTGAGATAGCGCCGACGTCAGCAACAGATTTGGCCTGTTTTTGCGGAGCAACGTCGAAAACATAAAAGTAATCCTCTGAAAAGTAAAATGTGGAGCACAAAGCGCAATGCCAAAACTTCTTTATGCGGAAGGGTTGAATATTCCACGGTACTTTTATTCCTACAGCAATCAGCGCGCCATCGCTCGCTGGCCCATGTCACCCCTTGTTTCAGCTGTGCATTTACCCATTTCCGGTGTGCTGGGGTAACTAACTACGTGCTGCAGTGGTCCAACCGATTTTTCGGCATATTTAAATTGGCGCGGAGACGGGGGCAGCGAGGAGAAGGTAGCAGGAGGCAACGGGGCGCCTAAGCATGCCGGAGGCCAAGGACCTGGTGGTGTCGGAGTTCCACCATGAGCTCAGCCGCAGCAAGGACATGGCCGTGGCGGTGGCGGCCATCAAGGCCCTGGCGTCGGTCATCAAGCGGAGCAGCGCGTCGACGGTGATGGAGCTGCAGGCGGAGCTGCGCGCCGCGGCGACGCTGCTGGAGAGGTGCCGGCGGAACGCAAGCGACGGCGGATCGATCAGCCAGGGCAGCAGTTTGGGGTCGCAGCGTTCGGTGCTTTCGGCAATGTTCGGGCTCGATTTGCGTCGCTGCGCCTGCGGCGGGCATCCTGGGTCGTCCATCGCCCGTCCAGGGACCCGCCCGGTGATTGGTCGGATGGGTTTGGAAACGGCGTGCGGCTGACATGTCTTGTAGGCGTGGGTGATGGGCTTGGGGTTGAGAATCGGGCGTGGAAACAGGACGGTAGCTAAGGCTGTGGGAATTGAGTCTCTCATGCCGCAGCCATTTGGGCAAAGGGCGTCGGGCCTGTGTGCTGTGGCATGCCTGTACGACAGATCGCGCACGGTGCCCTGGCCGCCAGAGTTTTGGTCTGGACTCGATAACAGTGAGCAGGATTGCAATTGAGGCCTGGATGGTTCATGCAATTCAGGCCTGGATGGTTCCATGATTGTTGGACATGAAAGGTGGAGGAAGCCTGAGGGTTGTTGGGTCGATACCTGCAGGTGCGACCCCACCAACATATCGCTTCAGGCGGCTTGCCAGCTGTTCCAGCGGCATGTCGCAAAGACCTCTGCGATTGCAGAGGGGGATTTTGCGACGCTGAAGGGGCATCTAATACAGGTTGGCGGACGAGGGGTTCTGCCCGGAGCAGCTGTGCATTTCATGTCATGGTTCATAGCTGTTGTAGAGAATAAGAACCATGTCATGGAATGCAGAGCCCCCTCCAGGGCAGAATGGTGACAGACTCTGTCCCATACTATAGCAGTTTATGTTTGTCATCTCAAAACAACTTCCAATTATTCCCAAAAGAATATTCCTGTGAATGCCAACATTTAGACCAGTCTGGATGTTCAGGCGGGAGCCAGCATGTGAGATCATTATATGCACAGTTGGATGTGCACTTGAATACTAAGTTGCCTTACAATCAACAGAATCAGGCTTGGGCGCGAGCCTGGCTGCCGAGCGTTGGCTGCTGAGCACATTGCTATGCGGAATGTGGCCAGTTGCCATCAACCTTGTGTGGCAGATGCAATGCCTGCCAAAGTTACCAACGCCCCATCTGTTGTGGCTGTGTCTTGCAGCGAGGGGACGCCTTCACTGAAATATCCATCAACGCACGGCAGCGAATCGGAAAGCTTGGTGCACGTTTCGTGTCCCCAGGCTCCACAGTCCTCATCCACGGATTCCCAAGGGTTGTACTTTGCATACTACAAGAAGCGCTCAACAAGGTATGAACAACTGCCAGCTGTTGATTGATAAAATGTGTCATCCATTGACCAGGATTGATCCATGCACTAGGTAGGGCATGCCCTTCTCAATTCATTACTTGTAGGTCACTCCCAACTTTTTCTAACCATGTGCAACTCGTCAAGGGCAACTCAAATGGTAAATTGAAGCAAGAAGAGGACCTGGCTAGTCTGCTTGCGCCTGATGTTGGCCATTGCAAATCGTTCTGCAGGCTGTGCACCAACACAATTCCACTTTTGCTCAAGTTGTTTAGCTTTGATTAACAGCTGCAAGTTTGCAAACCATTGTCCTTGCACCTTCAGTGCGAGATAGTGGTCAAGAACAGTCTCAATCTTTCTCATGTCGCTGACTACCCCTCACTGTAGGTGTAGCACGAAGTGCTAGTGGCTGTGCTCCTAGTAGATGTATGGCATCCAGAAAAGTGTGTTGAGGTGCAGGCATCTCTTGCAACAACTGAATCACCTTGCTACTGGATATGCGCTGGAAAACGCTGTGCCCACGGCAAGTGCCTGAGAATATACCCAGTCTTGGAAACCAGTGCTAGTGCTGCAACATGGCAGTATTTCATTGTCGTTTTTGAATGGGGGCATTTGGGGATGAGGGGCGTGAAGTACTGAGACAGCAGGGGAAAATGGATCAAAGTTCAAGTGATTTGATTGTCTTGAAATGACAGCCCACCAGCTGTTACCCAGAGGATTTGGTGCACCCGCCAGTGGCCACAGAAGCACTATGCCATGGGCATTTGACTATCAGTGCTTTTCGGACCTGCCATCTGATGCATCACCAATTTCTGGGCATTTGCTAGGTAGAGTTGACCTATCAATCTTTATTGAGCTATCACAATCTATCACACATCATGTGTGGCCTGACCAGCCTTTGCAGCCTGATGCAGGCAGCATTTTTGCATTGCTAGTCCCGTGACATTCAGTTAGTCAAATGCTTTGGCCAGTGACGCATCGATATTGCAGAGGTGAAAATGGACACCAGAAAAATTGTGTGTCATGACAAGTGCCATGACAGCAGATTTACCCTGTGACACCCAAATTGACTGCCTCACTATCCAACCTTGCTGGTGAATAGCTTGCCAACTGGTTTGTGGCATTGCCTGCGGTTGAAGAGATTGGCTATCAGATCGTCACTGAATTGGTGACGCTGTCCTATTGTATTAGGGTGTCCAGATGAACGTGGTTCTTACAGAGGGAAGACCAGATGGGACATATCAGAACATGGTGTCATGGCTCCACGAGAGGAGCATCCCAACAACTGTAATCTTGGACAGTGGTGTTGCTCACAGGATGGAAAGGTGCGTGTGCTGACAACAGAAACATCGAGGTTGCAGCACAGGGGCACAATTGATTCTTGCACAATCATGTCATCCCTGGTCTATCGATGTGCTTCCATCACAGCATAGCTCTAGCCCAATTGGTGCCCCAACTGCATTGAACTGCTTCGATATTGTGCTTGGAGTGAACCTTCAGGAACAACGTTCCACGCACGTCACGGACAATTGCTGTGATGGTGGCACACCATTGGTGCTGCCTCCCACATGCAATCCAGCCGAGTTGTGTCGTGTCCCCGCTTGATTCAATTCTGCAAATGGCCTTCCTGTCCTGTTTTCGTATGTAAACCAGACAAGTTGCACAGCAGAACTTCCTCCATGGCATATCTTGTGCAAATTGCGCCGGTTGCTGAAGGTGGCGACCAGAACAACGTGCGGTCCAGCCCTTTCCCACTGAGTCCATGTGATAAGGAACGCCACAACAAAAACACTTCTGCTCCAGAAACACTTGCCTAAACTGAGTGGTCCACGTCTGGAATGGAACCGCATTCGGCTTGAAGGGAAGTGCAAGCTTCTTTCAGCTGTTGTCTTTCGGCCATCCAGCTGGACAGTTGGATGGAGTCCTCCTTCTCACCATCATCAGTTTTTACAGAACAAGCCAATCAGGTGGCAGTCAGCTTCCTATTTTGCCCGAGCAAAGCAGTGTCGATAGAAGTCACTGAGGCGTGTGGTGACCCCGGGCCACCAGGGTCGACATGGTGCTGGTGGGAGCGGCGGGCGTGGTGGAGAATGGGGGCGTCATCAGCAAGCTGGGCACGTTCCAGATCGCCCTGTGCGCCCGCGCTCTCAACAAACCTTTCTACGTCGCCGCGGAGGCGTACAAGTTCGCGCGGAGGTATCCACTCAACCAGCGAGATCTCCCCATTGAGAACGCGCCGATCGACTTTGGGCCCCTCCTACCGAGCGGTGTAAAGGTAGAGAATCCCACACAGGACTACACGCCCCCCGAGTACATCTCTTTGCTGTTCACTGACCTCGGCGTCCTGACACCAGCAGCTGTGAGCGACGAGCTCATCCAATTGTACATGTAACAGCGGGCCCCGGGGCCCGGCCCCAGGTGTAACAATTGTTGTCAGCAAAGGGACAGGCGGAAATACTTTTGTGGGCGAGTGGTGACGGGCGTTTAAAGCAGACCGCGGCGGTGGATTGTCTCTGGCAGAGTGTTGAAGAGGAAGGCGGTGCAGGTCTGCCCGATTGGATGATTCTTGGGCGCATTGGCTCAACCTCTGTGCGTCGTTGCGATTGATGTGCATCCGCAATCGTAAGCCCTGTTGACAAAGCGCCTTTCGGCAGGGCACAACTGCGGCAGCGTGTCACAAAGTACGCAATTGCACGACTTGGGCCCAGCAGTTGGGATGCAAGAGCGGTCATCACCGCACACTGCGCTGCAGTGAGACTCAGCCTGTGCAGCCTAGCCATGCGCACTCACCATAAAACGAAAGAACGACCCCCCAGGCCCCAACGGTGGCACACGCTCACATGCATGCCGTAGCGCTGCAAAGTGGAAGACGGCTTATCGAAGGTGAACATGCTTCTTGGAGGACGGAGTTGCTCTATTGTACCATGTTGCTCCTTGGGATTCTAGAAACCCATCCTGAAATACGTGCACAAACATGTCCACACACCAACCTGAAGCATGCCCCTGGCACATTGGATTCGTACGCCACACTGATCCATGCCGTGATGTCATGTCCATGCAGCCTTGTCAGGAACAAACAAACACCGACCTCCTCAAGATATTCGTTGCGGGGTGCTGTCAGAAAGACGGTGCTCAGAGCAGCTAATGGATCGCAGGGCAGTATCGCTTCCAAATTTCGGCCTTGCTCTTTTCTTTTGTGGGATGTAGACCCTCAGCGCAGCCCCTGAACAACTGCCTGTGTGATACCGTACGTGCTAAGAACATACACGAGAGACCTTTCCAGAACAGAACTCTAGGCGCTGTGCGGACTGTTTCGTTCGATTATTTGTAGTTGTGCAGTTATTGCTGATGGTGGTGTGCTCCATGGCGCCGCTGTTGCCAATGGGAGCAGTCAATGAAAGTGTCAAAACTCGCTGGAGGGCCGCTGTACATGAGAGTCTTCGTGTCCAGGTTCCGTTGTAGCCACCTGACAGAGTCAGCAGGAACAAAAAGAATGCAGTTGCTCAGGAAGAGACTGGCTTCTCAAGCGAAAAGGATTGGGAGCAACAAGAGAACGTTTGCTTTACTACATATATATGCAGTCCATACCCTCAGCATGTTGCCAGAAAGCCACAACTCTTTTCCCCATCGATTGTCTTGAGGTTCCACGTTTGTGAGCCGGCTTCAGTGTTTGGGTGCCGCAGAATCTGATGGGAACTCAGGAAAAGGGACGTGAACTCAACGCCAACTCAGCGCACAAAGCCAGTTTGCCAGTTTCAACAACGCTGCTCGCATCACCGAGCAGATTGTTGTGCTACACCCATCGCCGTCGTAGAGTCATACAACGGTACAAAACAATGCGCTCTTCAATACTCGCTCCAATCGAAAAATCGTGTGCTGCCCCCAAGCTATGGTGCTGCTTCTACGCTGCTTCTTTCGTTGGTAAGCAAACAAATGTGTCTTGAAGGACCTCCTTGCTCTCTAGCCCCCCTTCAAACAGTCTGTGCTAGCACAAATTCTGGACCTGTGGAACACACAAACGCCATTAGACAATGAAGCTGCAAACAAACACAATACTCTATCGTGCATCAAGCATTTCGCTACGCCGTTGGGATCAAGCAAGGAGTGGGCATCAAAAGAATGGCTATCTAGAGCAAGGGGCACTAGCCATGCTTACAGAAGTGCACAACATTCCCCGCAGGCCAGCAAGTATGCTGTGTTTTGCAACTCGCCAGAATTTGTGGTAGACGACCCAATTGTGGACGTGACACCATACCAGAACCCAAGAGAAAGACCCTATGAAAGGCCAATCTGAACTTCAGCAACTACACAACCTCCGTTCCAAAAGTTGTGTCGCATCTCCAGTTGCTGCCAGAATTTGACAAGATCAACTAATTCAGTCCATCCGCCACCATATTCGGATTGTTTGGTCGACTTTGGGATGAGATGGATCTTGGTTGTATTGGTCATATTCATAAAACACGACATTCACGGCCTTATCGAAAATCCACCCGTTCCGTTCCTTGCGGATCCTCAATTCCACGCATTGTTGTGTTGGCCATATTCCCATTTGTCCCAAAACCCGTTCCCCCAAATTCATGGAGAGCCTTGTTGCACACAGCAAATAGGCACTGCTACACCCTCTCAAGAGTTTTGATATCATTACTACCTTGCTTTTTTGTGCATCGTTTCTTCCGATACGCTGAATCATGTTTCCAATTTCTGGTTTTCAACATTCGGTCTTTTTCGCCTCAATTGAAGCCCTCCCTTTGGCATGGCCTTCCAGACCTTGGAAGGCTGCCCGGTAGATGTTCTTGCACAGATCGAGGTGTGTCTTGGCCTTAAGCCAGAAACGTCAAGCGATTTTTGTTGGCACCCCAAATGCTGCACTAAACTCTGATCTTCTTTCTCATTGATTTTTGTTTGAAATCAAGCTGCATTCTTAGTGTATACCAACAACCAACAAAGTATGCTGGTCTCCCAGGGAAGACACTATTTTGAATTTTGTATGCCTAGCATCAAGGTGGCGTTAGGCTCAGACACCCCACCCCTTCCTTAACGTCAATCCAATTTCGATCCCAGGATGACTCATCAACATTACCTAACAATGCCGCACAACTTCAAGCGAAAAAACAGCCAAAAACAGTGATATGAAAGATGGGATGTCAAAACCATGATAGACGATGGGAGCACACCCAAATCCTAAAAATTGATCGATTCTAAGGACTCCCTCGAAGATTGAAGTTTTATGGAGGTTTTGCAACAAGTCATGAGCCATCTTCTGAAGGGCAGGACAGGTTCGCCATGCCTCACCTTGGGTCCCGGCAAAATCCAAAGTTGCATTTCAGCTGCTCTTTACTTATCGCAAGAACGGCAGCGCCGTTTGCAACATTAGAAGGCCCTCTGAATAGCTCTTTCTATGGTGGTTTGAAGGTGTTTTGGTCAATTTTTCTAGCTCGCACGTTTTGGTCTCAGTTCGTGCAACTTTGAGATGCGACACGACTTTTGGAACAGAGGCAGTACTGGATTAACCTAGACAGTCGCCAGTACCGAAGCCAGACAAGGCTCAACACAGCAACATGCTGTTCACTCACGACATTGGTAGGTTGCGCTGATGGTACTTCTGTACATTAGGAAGATTCTTGCCAGAGCGATATTGGAGGCATGGGTGATAGTTTTCGCGTTGCAAGTGTCCAACAGTCACTCCCAGATTGTGACAGATGTCAGACTGTGAGGCAGATTTTTCACCTGGCTGCAAACAGATGGCCATGCTCTGGGGCTGGCCTTATTGGAGGCGTCAGGTCAATGTAGTGCAACAACCTGATGATTGAAACCAGTGATTGTCACTTACCCGAAAGGTCCACGTTCCTTCATCTGCCTCGTAGGCTACAAATTGGCTCCCATCACGGCGGCACAGCTTCTTGAGCTGTCGAGTGAAGGACTCCTGAGATGCGGGGTCTCTGAGAATGGTCCCATCTTTCTTGCGTTTGTAGACCTCATGCAGCGTCACCTCTGCAGGCAAATTGAAGCCTGACCCTGGTGCGGGCACATCCTTCTTGTGTGCATTCTCATATGCTGAAACAACGCCTGTTGTCAATGCCACAGCATACGTCAGTGGCACACACATAGATGCGATGTGCAAGTACATTCCACTGACATCCACCATTACTAGATGTCACAATGCGACAAAACATTGCCCTTGCTGAAGGCGATGACGGGCAATGAGTTTGTGCAAAGAGTATGGGTGCAGGGAGCTGGGAAGCGGAGCAAGGGGAGAAGACAAGAAAATTGGTAGGCAAGCAGGTGGATGGAAAAAGAAAAAATCTTTACACTTCTTTCTTCCAACCAGTCTGTGATGCGTTTTGCATGTACGATGTCAGCAAGAGTTTTCCTCCCTGCATCGAGTTGGTGAGAGGTGATCAACGACAATCTTCTGACTGCCATAAACTGAAACACAATGGACACAGGAACATGGAAGTTGTACGTGAGCTGTCCAAATCAGAGCGAACGGATCGGGAATACACCGTGGACCAACTGGGTCAATGTCCAATGCGGCAGCCAGATGCAAAGGGCCCAAGGAGCACAGCTGTGGTCGGACTTTTGGTCCTTCCGCACTACAGGGCAAATAATGGATACAAAACTTGCAACATTGTGGATATCAAACCCGTTTTGCAGGTTTCAAACATGGCTTAAATGTGTGAAATGACCGCTTTTAAAACCGTGGGAAGTATCTGGTAAGCAGTAACAAACTCACATGGGTGACGAATTCCCAGTCAGCAACATCATAACAGGAAACTGGCGGACACTAGTTCTGATACACCCTTGTGCAAAAATGGAACTTCTTCTGGTGAAGCCATGTTTTAGGTGGCCTGAAATATTACTGCACAACCTTGCCAGCTTGCGGTCTGGAGTAGAGGCTAACATCAGCGCAGCAAAGTGATCGAAGACTGCAGACTGTGCCCGCCAGAAACGAATTGCTGGCCCCGGCAAAGAGTGTATACTACCTCTGATTCAAAAGTCTTGTCGTTGATCCAAATCGCACAAACGAAGGCCAAAACTTGCGAGTCAAGAATTTGACCAAAACAACTTCGATGGGCCACATTGATGGCTGTCCATAGAGGCTTTCAGCATGGAAAACGGCGCTGCCGTTCTTGAGATGTTAAGAGGAGCAAAGACGCCACTTTTCATTTTGTCAGGACCTTGAGAGGAGTATGGCGAACTCGTCTTGCCCTTCAAAGGAGGTAGATCGAGCTAGGCTATGACTAAGGGAGAGGAACGGATTGGTGGTTTTGCAGACACCTAAGTTTGGGCTAAATTCAAAGCAGAATCCACAAAAGAAAAGATGCAGGCTTGCTGCAGACTTTTGGTTTATTAACAAGAACTGTGCATGTTTCGTGGCCAAAGGCCAAGCGACACTTAGACTAGTGCAAGAGCATTGATTTACCCAGTGCACAAAGGTTGGGAAGGCCGTGCATGCTGCTGCTAACCTGAGAATGGCCTAGGTTGGTGCCAACATGGCCAACTGTTAAAATTGAGACTTCCAAGACATGAGTCAGCATAGAGGAAGAGATGGTCCACAAAGAGTGTGGTTGCGATGATGTCCAATTCTTGAAAGGTTGTGGTAGTACCTATTACATTCTAACATAAGATTCTTGTATAATTTTGGGGAAATAAATAGGCACACATGGGGACAACGTGAGCGCAAGCTATATAATCAAGATCCAATGACTCCAAAATCGACCAAGGAATCCGAATCTGGTGACAGATTTACTAATTGAGTTGATCTTGCAAAGTAACAGTAAGATCGATGATCGACAAGACCTATAAATCGGAGGTAATATGTTCAGGACAGCAGTTAGTCCAGGGTGGCGAATGGGAATCACGTTGCCCTATACTCAAAGAAATTGCACAAGAGTGCAGTAGCAGCCATCGACCTCGGTGCACACCTCTCCTGATCTGGAAAATGTCACAGATCTTCGCTCTCTCCACATTTGCTGACTCCAGGATTTTCACCTTCCCATACCCCTTCCTCCCAATTGTGAATCCGAACAAGCTCTTCAGTGCATGGGCGTCCCCCCGCAACATGTTCTTCAGCCCATGGCTGTCAGGGACAGTGTAGTAGTCGTTGCTCAGCACCTCTGGCAATATTTTCACGATTTCATCCTCATCAAGGAATTGGCTTTCACCATTCCTGACCCTGTTTCCAGCCATCCCATTCTCAGTTTCTCCAGGGCAGAGTGCAGCAGCCCATCATTCATATGACGTTTGCATTAGCTATCATGCAAAGGTGCCTATCCACTGGATTGCCCTGCACAATAGCAGCAGTTTAGTTTCTGGACACAGATAACATATGCTTGGCACAGCATTTCCATCTTGTCCACGTTGTTGGGGGACTGGGGAGCAAGGGGTAAATTAGAGCTTGAACGGTCCTAATAAGAATGTGTGAGCAATGAAGGAACACAACAGCCTCCGCCCACTACAGACCAACAGAGGCACTCCACTTGCTGTTCGCCTCAGGCTGCTTTCCAGGCATGAAACAACTGCAAGGCCCTGCCAAGCGCGTGCAAGTCTTGAGCGATGAGCAGCAACATGTGATATACGACATTGGAGAATACTTCCTGCCATAAGTACAGAGGGGGCCCCCCAACTGCCAACATGAGCCTCAGCACAGCAAGCAGATCGTTTTAAAATCTCCTGGTTGAGCTGCAATTCACAGAAAATTCCTGGTTGGAATGGGTAGTTGGTCAGCACACATACAGCTGCAAGTGCACTGATGATGGAACAGTGGGAAAAACGTTGGTTTGTACTACTCTGATTCGCAGACAAACAGTGAGAGAAACAATGAATCGAAAGAACCAGAAAATGACAACAGAATGACAAGGGAATCAATTAAATTAATTAAATCAATTAAATCGAAATAAACAGTGAGAATACAGCAGCATCAATGGGACGACAACCATGCCACTGCACACTGCAATCATTGATTTCCTACCCCTGGGATTTCTCTGGGGTTATCTCCCTGCTGGGCTCGGGGGCCCCACTTGTGCCACATGGCGCCAGTACTGCTGACTCAACAGTCGCCGGCAGGTGTGCCTTAACATCCCAAAGCTCCAGCGGGTTGTCCTTGTCTGTCTTCCACATGGATGGGGGCATCCACTCCTTGTTCTCCACACCCCTGTCGAAGGGATTCTCAAAGGGCTCACCAAACAGGTCATCCAGGCGCCGTCTCTCCCTGACATTGTAGCCTGACCTTCGCCTGGCAGCAAATCTTGCCCTGCTCCCTCGCTCCGTGGATGGGGGCAACATGAGCGGTAGGCGTCGGTGGATGTGCAGCTCGGGGGGAGTAACTATTGTGAACTGCGAGTTTCGACAAGTGTTTGAACAGCCAGTTAGTGCATCAACAAGTACCAACAACCGCTGTCAATGTCATGTGGGGAAGTAGAATAAGCATCCAATTGTTGGAGAGTACCCATTAATGCCCTGGGCATCAAGCCCTGTGTCTTGTTGATCGCATTTTTTGTTGAGGACCATGAGCCATGACACCAAAATGACTTTCGTTCATTGCCCAATGGGTATATGCGCTTCCTTGTTTATTAATGCAACCTAGTCCCAGGTTTGGGTGTGTGCTAGTGTGCAACGCAGCAGGCTTGCACAGTCAAAAACTGCAAAATGCAGATACACCATCAACACTCACCACTGGGCCTGATCCAGTAGTCTCAGGTGCTTTGCTGCTAGCCGGGGTTGGGTTGGGCAGCTCTGGAAGGTAGTTAGTTCCATACGGACTCGTGTGGGGGGATGCCTGGGGCTGTGGCTGTTGTTGCTGCTGCAGTGGCTGCTGCTGTTGTTGCTGCTGACTGGCGAGTCCAAACGAAAAACCTGCAGCAGGTGCTGCAGTGCTGCTGCCAAACACTGATGGCTGCACTGAGCCAAACAAGCTGCCAGTCTGAGCGCCTCCAAAGCCCCCAGTGAAAGATCCTTGCTGAGCGAACCCTCCCGTTGGCGCAGGCTGCCCAAAGACAGATCCGCCCACTGCAGGACCTGGTTTTGAGGCAAACAGTGTTGATGAAGAGGAGCTTCCAAATGCGGAGGGCTGACTAGGAGCAAAAGAGCTCAACCCGCCACCTGTTGAAGCACCAAAAATCCCCGAAGAACTGGTTCCAAACAAAGAAGATCCTGAACTTGCAAAGCCGCCTGCTGGAGGCGCTCTGAAGCCAGAGCCAAAGGTAGAGCTCGCTGCAGTTGTGGAGCCAAAGGCACCACCACCGACGAACGTTCCACCTGCCTGAGGCTGAGGAGTGGTCGCTGAGCCAACTACAGACTTGGTGGCACCGCCAAACAGGCTGCCCGTTGAGCCGTGTGACGAGCCAAATCCACCACCGAAATTGGATGCGGAAGAGGCCCCAAAAGCAGGCATGCTGGAAGGCGTCCCAAAGCCCCCAAAAGATGAGAAGCTCGCTGAGGAGCTAAGCCCCCCAAAGCCAGACGACTGCGACTGGCCGAACGCGTTGCTTCCCAATCCCGTGCTGAACTTGTTGGTGCTGGAGAAAGCGGGGGCCGTGGACGGGTTCCCAAACCCTCCAAAAGCCCCTCCTGAAGGGGTGGACATGCCGCCAAACAAGGGCCCGCTGCTGCTGGCTCCGAACGTGGGGGTGGAGGATGACGCCCCAAACATGCTGCTGGCTCCAGTGTTGCCAAACCCAGACAAGGATGCTGCACTGCCTGTCGAGCCGCCAAGAAATGGCGAATCCCCAACTCCTGAGCCAAAACCTGTGGCAGCCGGCCCACCACTGCTTCCTTTGTCACCGTTGCTGTAGTCTTCATACCTCAGCATCTCCACAGTCTTGTTCACGTACGCCCGCATGGCGCAGATGTGGTCAAAATGCACTGTCACGCTGGGCTTGCCAAGCGTTGTGGTGCCCTCCACCTCTGCCGTCCTCTGGAAGGGCGTGTGCTTGGTGCCAGTCGCCCCTGGGGGGGGCATTCCCCCTGACATCCCATTCTGACCAAACAGCCCCCCACCAAAGGAGGACTGGCTGGAGCCAAACACGGAGGGGCTGGAAGACTGACCGAAGTGGCCTCCGCCACCGAATGCATTGGATGGTTGGGAAGCCCCAAAGTTCTGCAGAAGTGTGCAACACAATAGCTCACAAGGTAGGGTGTACAATGAAGAAGAGAGGTTCTGGCACAACTTCGTTTTGATGGACATGCTTAACGCCAGTTCACTGTTGCATTCAGGAATCTTATTTAGCTGTTTTCCTTTGGAGTAGAATCTGAAACAGTGGCGATCATGGGCATGTCCATTGGGTGTGCTTATCTTCTGTACACTTTTGGCTGTGATTAAGGTGGACCATCATTTCCCCCTGGTTGGCGTCACTTGCAAGTATTGATGTGTGAACAGGTGGTCTTCGAGGCAAACAATTTCAACAAGTACAACAATTGCGATCTAGGGAGCTTGCATTTAGAGATGATGTGTTTGGGTCTTGATTTCAGTTACAACCTGAAGCAGGTGTCAAAGAACTATACTGCACTCCAGATTCTGGCGGTGGCCACCAGAGCAATGAATGTGAGCCAATTACTACAAGTTTGGAAACAAAATATAGACAACATCATTGCAGCTTGCACTAAGAAAGAGCAATGCGCAGTGCTGACATCTTGACCAACTGGTTAACTAACACAAATATACCACAATTCTGCCCCTCTAAGAGTCCACTGTACACTGACACAGCCATCTCTGTGCCTAAATCACAATGTGATACACAAGGCAAGCTGTGAGCTACACAGACAAGGCAAACCAGCGGAAAAAAAGCCATCCACAGCATCAGCTTTCCAAGCCTTGGTAAACTCAAGAGTTGCAGCATACCTCTGTGTTGCCACAATGGAACTGGGCCAGATCAAATCGCAACGACTGGAGGCAAACGTAACACCACAAGTACCATCTGTGAGATTGTCTTGTTGGCATCTCTTTTTTACAACCTCTTTTTGGACTCTATTTGTTGAATGCCAGTTTGTGGGCTCAAACATCTGGACGCGGTCTGCACATGAAATGACACTGCATTGAAAGCAGGCATCAGGTCAGCTGCCAATGAGGGATCGAAAACACACCTGGAAGCCAGAGCTCTGTCCGAACAAACCACCTCCAGTGGAGGCCTGGGAATGCAGAGGAGAACAAAAGTCAAGCAATAGTGAGGGGGGCGATTGGTGGAAAGTGAGCGAACTGCAAAGGCAATTGGCCTGTACACACACAATGGAATAAAGAAGCGCGACAGCCAGGGCACATCGCGACCGCTAGTGGGGCTCAGAGGCTATGGTGGGACCGACAGGTGTGCGCTCCGTGGACCAGCCCACCTGCGGCGCCCCGAACGGGTTCGAGCTTGTCCCTCCGAACGGCGAGCCCTGCACGGCGATCAAAGCACGAGCAGCTTCAGCCAAGGTACCCCGACGGCCAGTCATCCCATCGAGCGGTCTCCTCCGAGGCCGCCGAAACAAACCGCGGGCCACTGCGCCGGCGCCTTTTCGCCCCCTTGCCGAATTTCGCACCCGAAGCCCAGGAGATGACCCCAAGGCGGCGCGCCCTTCTCGTTCGGTAGCGCGACAGCGGCAGCCGGTGGCCGCACAGAGATTCCCAGATCCATCCCCCACAACAATCGGGCGATGCCCACGCGACGGGACATCTCACCTGCTGCGCCCCGAACCCGCCCGACGAGCTCGTTCCAAACCCGAACGACGAGTTCGGCCGATTGAGTCCTGCGGTGGGCGGCGCGGGTGCGGCGGTCAGTCAACCGCCAGGCGTCCAGGACGTCCATCGGGGTCGCATGCGGCCAACCTCGACCCCACCTGAGGACCCGAGGCCGAAGCCGAAACCGGAGGTCATGGATGAGCGGCGGGCAACCGCCAAGGGGGCCGCCCGGCTTCGACTTGGGGACCTGCCGGTTGATCCGACTCCGCAGAGATTGGCCCTTCTGTTTGTTTGTCTGTTTTGTGGCGGCTCCTGACCTGTTCCACTCCTGTTCTTGGCCGTTCGGCCCTCTCGGCACCGCCGGTGTTGAACGGGGCGCGGGGCTGGTTGGTGTTGCCTGTTGGCGAGCCCAACACCGGGAGTGGGCAGAAAAAACGCGCGGAGGGGTCCTGTGGGCAAAAAAGCGGCCTTCCCGCCTGCGAGTATCTGGCATCAGAGCAGAGGGCGGGGCGGGGCTGGGCGCTCGCGCATTTTGGCGGGAGATGGCGGCGCGGGTGGCGGGCGGCGCGGAGCGCGACGGCGACCCGGACGCCCCGGAGACGGACAGGATCGCTGCGGCGGTGGCGGAGATCGTGGACGCGCTGCTGTGCATCTTCCGTGCACGCCTGCTGGATGCTCCCCGCTCCCCGGCGGCCCCCGACGCCTGCAATCGATCGCAATCCGACGGGCGCAGTCCGAGACCTCCCCCAACCGATGTCGACGATCGGCCAGATTCGGCGGCGCCGGGGGAGGCAAGATACTCCCCCGGCTCCCGCTGCCTCGTCCTTGCGGAAGGGCCCGAAGCGGCGTGTACGGATGCCGGTTTGGAGACCCCTTGTGCGTTCCGGGCGCGGTGCTGGGGGGGCTTTGTTTCGGACGGCTCGGACGCGCCGGTGGGGTTCCTCGAGCTGCGGCGCAGGGCGCAGGCTCTGTGGTCCGGGGTGGAGTCCGAGAACGCGTCGCCCGAGGGGGGAAGAGCTGAAGCCGAAGAGCCCGGGCTTCCAAATTCGAGCCCAACGGTGCGGCGCATTGATGGTAATCACCGCAAAGGCGAAGAGCCCTGGCTGCAGGCGCTGAGCCAAGCGATTGAGGCCCCTGGTGTGGATCATCGCGGAGCCCAAGAGCCCGGGCTTCCAAATTTGGGTCGGGCGGTGCAGGCGATTGATGGGAATCATCACGAAGGCGAAGAGCCCTGGCTGCAGGCGCTGGAGGCGCCCGGTGTGGATTATCACGAAGGCGATGGGCCGGGGATTCCGAATCTGGGTCGAACAGAGGATGCGGCTGGTGGGGATCATCGCAAAGGCGACGGGCCCTGGCCGCCGGCGTTGGGTCGAAGGATGCAGACGCCTGGAGAGGATCATCGCGAAGCCGAACGCGGTCGAATGTCCGTCGCGAAGCCGAAATTTGTAGAGCCTGGGCGGCTAGCGTTGAGCGGGGAGGTGTGGGAGCCTGCAGGGAGGGAGGGCGCCGACAGAGGGCAAAAGGACGGAGGGGCACTTGACCGATGGGCGGGGTGGAGTGAGAGGTGCTCGTCTGCGGAGGGGAGGGTGGAAGAAGACCGCCTCAGCCACGACGCCGATTGTGAGGATCGGTCTGAAGACGCCGACGCGTCGATCGCGTGGGCGGAAGGGCGGCGCGCGGCGGGGCGCGATGGCTGGTCGCCCGTGGACGCTGCGATTGGCGGGGAAATGACTCTTGGGCGGGATGGACGTCCCTGTGGCAAATGCAGCCATCGGAAGTCGATGACGCGCGGCGGCTCTGCTGGGTCTTTGTTTGAATGCGCGGCAGCCATGAGAGGCGCCGCAGGTTCGTTCGCTGAAGAGAGTGACGGGCACGCCCTGGCCGAGATTTCCAACACGAGGAGCCGGGAGGTGGATGCGATGGTTGAAAGGCGGACGCGCTCGCGCTGCGGCTCTATAGACGGTGGGCGGACAGGCTGCCGGCCGTTCTCTGAGGCCGGTCGGCGGTGGTGTGGCGACGCGTTTGGATGTCTTCATCAGCCTGGCGGATCAAGTGTCGATATTGTGGCGGATCTGAAGCCCTCGCGGCTCACTGGATCGGCCAGAAAGGATGCACATGGAGTTGCAGAGGGGCGGTCGTGTTCATCGCTTGTGAACGGCACGTCGACCCAGACTATGCCACACGCGGATGCGGGAAGGCCAGCGACATCAGGTGGTTTTGTACGAATTTCAGACCTGCAATACTGGGAAACGACACAGAAATACGATCACAATCGACAACAACGGAGAAACGTCTTCAATGGGCGCATTGCTGATGCTTTGGGGGGATCAAAAATGGACTACCAGCACAGCAGTTCGTTTGCAAACACCACAGATTGTTTCCCTGCAAACCGCTGTTGGAGATACACCCACCCGCTCTGCGATAGGGCAGATGAAGTGGAGAACATCGCATGGATCTCCACATCTGGAGATGGCTGGAAACAACAGAGCAGGTCAAGAAATACAATAGCCACCAGCCCTGGTGACCATTTGTGCGCACCAGAGTGCGTGCGGAGAAAGAACTCTGTTTCTCAGAATCGACACCCATTTGAAAGGACTGCAGCTACTCTTGTGCACAGTAGTCCTCCAAGCATCCATGCCAATGATTGCCTCCATCCAAACCTGCAACTGCTGCAGGCATCAGGAAGCCCAGGACCAGACTATGAACGTCAGGTGTACCACAATCAGCAATTGTCGGGTCGCCACTTGCAGGCTCAGGGTGCTGCCCTTCAGTGGCCTGGCAATGGAATTGGTTCCCCCACAGCCCGCCAAATCCCAGAGGGATGGGGTGCAACGGCTGCAGGGACATACAGAACCTCACAAAATGAGCATGTTGATCGCTGGCCATTTTCTGGGGGCGGCTCGACCTGTCCCAAAACTGGTGGGGAGATTCCTGGCACCAGCAGAGAAGGGTCATCAGATGCTTGTAAGGGTTATGAGTGCTTGGGGGATGCGACACTACACAGAGGCAGCAACATGGATGGCGTTGCTTCAGGATGCCATGAAGAATCAGGAAAACTGGGAAGCAAGGTGACGAATGCTGCTCTCTCCACAAGTGCACATGACGCTGCTGAGGGCTTGGCCCTCAGCCACAATCTGACTTCCTATCCAGATGAAGGCCCCCTCAGTCCACCAGGGCCCTGTCCTCTGCAGCTCACTGACGTCAGCGTTGACCAGTGTGCCACGCTCCCAAATGTGCTTGGTGAACCAGAATTCTTGCCACAGGCACCTGTGCAAAGTGAGCCACATAGTGTGCCATGTGACACCCTTCTGGACGACAGATGGTCTCCCCGCCCGATGCACACCATTGGCCGCTACGCTGGGGATGCTGCCAACGACATCCCCAACTGGTGGACGCCTCCATGGGCCAGCGTTCAGCCTGACTTGGAAGCACAAGGGGACTGTCCAGGGAGAACTATGGTCCATTCTTCTGCAGATGCCCGTACATCGCACCTATGGCCGCCCAATGCGCAATGCGCAAACTCCCTTGTGCACATCGGACGCGACAGTGCGATGGGAACGATGTCCTTGTCCCACGAGGCCCCCCATGACCCCCGCCTTGCACTGGACGGCGCAACAACCCGAGCCGTTGTGACATCTGGGCCATCGAGCTTTGGCCTTGTAAGCACCAGGCCGTTCGCTCCACATTCTGGCATTGTCTGGGAGGATGCACAGTACGCTCACGCGCAAGGGTGCACACCGCCCGTCGACTGGGCCCAGCTGCCTCGATCCACGCCAGAGATTGCACAAAGGATCCAAGCAGACATGCACCCAGCCACCGACCTGCCAGCGAGGAGACCTTCACAAGGACAAGGGCAACCCTGTGCTGCAGCCAATCGCGCTCCCCCCCAATCAGTGCCCGTGATTGGCCCAAAGGCCGCAGATCCTAGGATGGCGGTTGTTGTCAGCGATTGCGACCACTCGTGGACGGATCAGGCCACTCAAACGACGCCCTGCCTTGCAGTGAACAGGGTTGTTGCCAGCGCTGCAAAGTCCAAGGCGGGCGCCATTGCCCGGCTGTACCTGGGCGCATCGTGCAGGCCCGCGTTGGCAGAGATACAGGCCAAGCAGCAGGGCGGCAGGCCGGTCGGCGACCGGCACCACGCGCCCCACAAGAGGGCAATGAAGGTTCAGGGCCCCATTCGCATCCCGTGCAACGCCAAGCACACGAACAGCCACGCGATGCGGCCATCCGCGCCGAGGGCAAAATGCGGGGACGGAAATCTTCAGCAGGACGGCGGCAGCAGAAGGAAGGAGAAGCGGCCGCAACACCGGAAGAACCGACAGTCAGGGGGAAACAAATGGGGTGGGTCGCTTGAGGGGCATCCACCACCTATGGTTGCACCATTCTTTTGCATTGCATTGCGTTGCATTGCATCGCATTGCATTGACGAAGGCATGCAAGGTCGAGGGGTGGCGACCCTGGACGGGGACCGTAGGTTCGAGTCCACCACAACGGTTTGCAGCCGAGCGAAGGGACAACAGGATTTCTGTCTCTTATATCCAGTCTGTTTATCAGTATCCTCAATGCAATTCCTAGTGCCTCATCATCTTTTTATGCGTTCGGTTGTTAATAATACCCAATCAGTTCCAGTTACAACAGCATCAACGATGATTGTTGATAACGACAGCCATGAGACCATCAGTTGCTCAAGGTCTATTTGCGTGCGGCCGTTGGGTGCTGGACAGTGGATGGCCCCATAATCAAATGCACTCGCGCATGTGACAGATGACGTGCGTGGAACGCGGCCTTCTTCGGCCCTCCAGCAGGCGCGCCTCACAGGAGCCCCTGGTCGGAGGAGACACCGCCCTGACTCGGCAAGGACCGGCAGGACGATGTCTGCACAGCCAAAGGTGGACAGAATGGGCGTCCCGCCGGGCCTGGCCTCGAACAGGCAGACGAAGGCGTCTGTCCTGAGGGCAACTGCCATCAACACCCGGATTCGAGGTTGGCAACACTGGCCAAACTTCACACCTAATCACGGTTACCATGATTCGTGACATGTTCCCGCCTTAGCCAACGGCACGTC